GCTACCCAAGCCTGGAGTGACCTGTGTGTGTGCTTAAGGATGAGAAGAGTCTGCAATCCCTGGAAGAGATGTGGAGAAAATCTACTCCATAAGCTGTTTACTACTCCATGACTTCCCCATGTTTTTTTTTTGTTTGTTTGTTTGTTTTTTAAGGGAGATCTTTAAGAAAAGCATGGTGGCACACCTTTAACTCCAGTATTCAGGAGGCAGAGGCAGGTAGATCTCTTAGTTCTAAGCCAGCCTTCACAGAGACCCTATCTAAAGCAGGGGAAGAGACAAGGTGAAGGCTGGGTCAGAGTCTGGGCGTGTGGCTCAGGGCAAACTATGAGCCCACCTGATATGTCAGGTGGGAGGATCTGGGTAGCTTCCCTTTGCCTACTGAATTGTGTCTATTTGTCTGTCCTTTTGTCATTTTCTCCTCCCCTCCCAATCCCAAAGCGACCTTAATTTGGATATTTCATTTCAACCCATCAAATTAGCAGCTTTCTTGCAACAATCTGGGGCTCTTTACAAGCTCATTCTGGTCCATGCTGTCATTGGAAGCAGGTGCATGTGTGAAATGTGGTATGCCCTTTCAGACTAGGAGAAGATGCCCGCCCACTAACCGCCAACTCCATCACCAAGGTCTTGTTCGGTATCATTTGGTTATAAGCCAGGGAAAAAGAGATGCTGATAATTTTAATTGGGGGCTGCTGAGATGAAAGGTTTGGGTTATTACTTCACCCTTTCCCCCTGCTGCCGCTTGTGCCGTTGGAGAAGGAAGGAAATGTGTAGGAGCCACAACGCTGGCCACAGCTGCTGCAGCTTGTGAGGTTCTCTGCCACAGCTGCCAGGAGGCAAGGGAGCAGGTGAACAGGAGCCCTTGCCTGTGCTGTTAGGAGTAGGATGGACTTCCTCCACATCTGCAGCACCTCCAGAGGCAGCCTGCCCCCCCCCATAATTATCTGCTTCCTATCTTTTCATGGTGGGAGCCAGGGATGCCCAGCTCCTAGGGACTTGGGACTGGCTGTCATTGCTCTAGCTTCTGTCTCACTGCCTCATTCAGGCCTGTGTAGGAAACTGGAGATGGAGAGGGTGACCGTGCCTGCTGTGGAGCTGCGGCTACAGCCTTGCTGGGTCGTAGCCTTGTTACACAGTAGTCTTGCTCGAGGGCTTCTTCCCTCTTCCACCTCTTCCTGCTTATGGCCCTTTCTCAGTTCCTGATTGTTCTTTCCTTTTTATGTCAGAGAACTAATAAAGGGAATTTAAAAAAGGGAGACAAGGGAGAAGAATACTTCCTTTCTTTTTTCAGAGTGCTAGTGAAGGGGAAATTGCTTCTGGGAATCAGAGTGTCTCCATCTTCATCTCTCCCCGTTTAGCAGTGGTGTGTATAACAGGCCAAGCATGCACCTCACCCCAAATAATGATCACTTTAAAATAATTTTTAAGCTGGGCAGTGGTGGCGCACACCTTTAATCCCAGCACTCGGTAGGCAGAGGTGGGCGGATCTCTGTGAGTTCGAGGCCAGCCTGGTCTTTAGTGTGAGTTCCAGCACAGCCAGGGCTGCACAGAAACTGTGTTTACAGAGACAGAGAGCAAATGTTCTTAATCTCTGATTAAGTCTAATAACGGCCACTTTTAAGAATTTCATAATCTTTGCGGTGTTGATGCCACCTCAGGGCAGGAGTTACTGGAAGACTGGAACTTTTGGACTCTGAAAACAGCAGGTTTTGAGGCGGGCCTTACTATGCCTAGGGCGGGTCTGTACTCTTATTCTTTGGCCTTAGCCTCCTGAATGCTGCGAATACAGGCATGTACCACCATGCCTAGTTTCTCTCTGAAATATTTGTTCCATTTATCATATACATAAAATGTTCCATTCATCAGCCTTGGGGAGCATGTAGGCAACTGGGAACCTGATGCCGGGTGGGGTGGGGGTTCAAGCTCACTATATAGGCAAGAGTGATCTCTCTGTTTCTACCTCCCAAGTGCCGGAATTCTAGGTGTGTACCACTGTACCTGGTTCTATGCTGAGGCCTTGTGCAAACTAGGAAAAGCAAGTCCTTTACTGACCACCAACCGAGCTGTGTCCCATTCCGTGCCCCACACTGCCCTTCACTTCTCAAACCTCAAGACAGATGAGTCTGGGGCATGGATTAAAGAGCTGGGTTGAGGGAGGGAAACTGGTGGGTATGGAAAATAAATGAAAAAAAAATAATTAAAAAAAGGAAAAGAACAAAAGGCTGGATTAGTGTAGTTTAGGACCAAAGTCCAAGCCTGGGAGGAGCAGGGAGAGAGAAGCAGACTTACGGATTATCCCTGTGGAAATTAGCAGATGAATAAAAAGGGGGAAAGGCAGAGGTGAGAAACTTAGCGAAATCATATGTGTCGTGTGTGTCAAACAGATTCAAGGGCTGAGGAAGCCCATGGAAGGTGCATACCTGGGCTTCTGTGGCTTTACCCTCTGCCTCCAGACAGCACCCTCACTCCCTACAAACAGCAGGCTAGACTCACCTCCAGAGCTGTGTGTGGCGAGTGATCTCAGCATTTACTCTCCTGTGTTCTGAGACAGGACAGGGTCCCTCTCAGCTCCTTGAGCTCCCTAGAAACCTGAAGAATACATGGGTAATTTTAGGAACCCTGTGCATCTTTAATGACTTTAATTTGTACCTACTGTGGGAAGATTAGGGAGCTTGCTTTAGGTATTCCAGAAAGGGAATAAGGGGAGGGGCAAGTACTTGGCCCTTCAAGTGGCCACAGGTAAGGATACCTAGTCCCTATTAGAGATCTCGAAGGCCAAGTGATAGTTGGGGTTATTCCCAACAACTCTGGGTCCCTCTGGGTGTGGCTGGGTTGGAGGAAGGGTTCATTTGAATATGTTTGTGCTCGTATGATTACTTTAAGACCCCACCATTTAGTGGACGTGGCTGGGAAGCAGTTGCCTGGGAAGTTGAAAGCAGCACAAGAGCTGCAAGTCATTTATGAAAATGAGTGAACAGTGCTTAGGTTGCTGCTTGGGAGGGCTTCTCTCCCAGCCAAGACACACTTTCGTCCCTAAGCAATGCCCACCTCAGCTCCTCTGTTCTGAGAGGCCTAGGAGGGAAGAGAAAACCAGGGATATGGCTCACTTGGTATAATACTTGCCCTAATTGGAATAATGCAAGGCCCTGGGTTTGGTCCCCAATACCACATAAAATTAACCATGGCACCCAGAAGCACTGAGTCTTCTCACCAACTGAGTAACATTTTCTTAAGGGATTCATAAAGCTAAAGAACTTTTTAAAATGCCTTTAGTCCCAGCACTCGGGAGGCAGAGGCAGGAGGATATGAACTCAAAACTAAGCCTGTTTTATATACTGAGTTCCAGGACAGCCAGAGCTACATAGTGAGACCCTGTCTAGAAACACTCTCCCCCTCCTCACAAACCAAACAAACAAACAAAAAACGTAACTGTAAAAAATTTTATGTATTAATGTTTGCCTGGTTCCCTCAGAATGCATAAGTCATCAGATCCCCTGGGCGCTACAGGCAGTTGTGGGTGCAGGGGACTAAACAGGGTTCTCTTAACTACTGGGACATCTCTTTAGCCTCAAGAACTTGAGTTTGAACCCTGGAACCCACAGAGGTGGAAGGAGAGAACGACTCCACAAAGTTGACCTCTACACGTGGCATGGTGTGCCAATGCATACATGTTAACTCATTTTAATAATGTTATTTGCACATTATACTTGTATACATTTATAAGGATCAAAGTAATATGTATATACAGTATGAAATAATTTAATCAAATTAACATGTCCATCACTTCAAATGCTTCCCATTTATTACTCCTGTCTACCTGGACCGGTCACATCACCTTTGCGTTCTTCCCAGGTGATGCAGACACTTGAGCCTACAGCTCAGAGGAAACTGACCAGCCTAAGTCACATGTTGCTGTGCCAGGCTCATTTCTGGGCAGACAGGGCTCCTTTCCCCTGAGTCGTTCTAGTCCTCGACCGATTTAGGGCCTGTGACCACTATGGGAAGCAGCAGGGCCAGGGCAAGGGGCTCAGTCCTGAGAATGGTGAGGTCAGGCAGCCCGAGGTGATTTGGGGGGTTCGTGCTGCCCCCTGGCAGCCACGGTGGAAATTGTCGAAACAGGCACTGCCTGGACCCTCAGTGGAATCCCAATCGGGTTGGATGCTGGCAGAGCTCAAACCCAATGCTAGGGTTGCTAGAGACGTGTCCTCCCTACGGGCAAGGGAGCAAGCGACGGCCCTTTCTCCCACCTGAAGCCCTGGGAACCCGCCCTTTCGCACACTCAGGAAGCGTTTCATTCTCTGGCTGAGTGGGGTCTACCAGGGTAACTCCAGTTTTGTAGTTCAGGGTCAGCTTCAGAGGAGGAGGCGGCTTTGCTTCCGGGGTGCAGCCGCACGGGAGTTGGCCCCCTGATCTAGTCTGTGAACAGACATGGTCCCTGGAGAGCTCACAACCTGGAGAGTGCAAGTGACCAAATATTTCTGCAGAGTCAGAGAGGGAGTTCTCAGGGAGGATGGCAGAAGCTCATTTTCTTTTCATCTCGATGTGTGTGTGAGATCATTGCTGTGGAATGAATCCAGGGCTTTTCATATGCTAGGCAAGTGCCCTACCACTGAACTACATCCCCAACCTTTAAAAAGCTGCATTGATGTTGTTATTTCTGACAGGATCCAGTTATGTAGCTCTGAATAGCCTGGAATTCGCCTTGTAGCCCAGACTGAACTGGAACTCAAGGTAATTCTCCTGCCTCAAACCTCTAGAGTGCTAGTATTACAGGTGTCAGCCAAAGTCTGAGGGAGGTTTTGTTTTGTTTTTCCCTTCTGTGTAACAGCCCTGGTTGTCCTGGAACTCGTTCTGTAGACCAAGCTGGCCTCGAACTCACAGAGATGCAACTGCCTCTGCCTCCCCACATTCCTGCCTGAAATAGTTTTAAAAAATATATTTGATTTTTTTCGAGACAGGGTTTCTCGGTGTATGTCTAGCTGTCCTAGAACTTGTTCAAAAAATATAGAATTTTCATTTCACAATTTTCATTTCATCATTATGCAGGGGCTATGCTAATCTTCTTTGTATCATTCCAATTTTAGTATACGTGTTGCTGAAGCGAACACAATTTATTTTTAATAGTGTCTTTCTACGTTGCCCAGGCTTGCTTTGAATCTGTGGTCCTTTGGTTTCAGTCCCTGAGCAACTGGGATTACAGGACAATTCCTCCAACTCTGTCCAGGAATCAAGAGGGCAGTCCAGGTGGCGGCAGCTCACGAGCTGAGGAAGGCAGGGAACCTGAGAGCGATCCCAGGAGCAGGGAGTCTACGGTCCTCTGACATCAGCGGGCGCCAGAGATGAAACTGCACAGGGCTACTGGTAGCGGGGCATAGTATGTCCTCGGGCAGAGCAGACATCACAATCTCTGTTCGAAATTCTTCAGTCCCTGGAGTTTAGGGTCCCCCGATCGCACATGCCCCCTTTTGGTAAGATAACCGTCTAGGAGACTGCACCGGTCCTTCAGGAAAGTCGGGCCGGGAGGGAGCTCAGGCTGTCCTGGAAGTCTCAGCGGTGGCGTCTAAGCTCGTCTGGATGAGGCGGACGGATGCCCAGAAGGTGGCGCGAGCCGGCGGCGGCGGTCGGGCACAGATGGAGCCACCGCCTGCCACGAATTGTGGCCCGCAGCCGAGGGCTGCTGCGCGCAGCTGGGTATGCAAATGTATGCAAACGACTCGGCGACAGGGCTGCCAGAGGCTGTCGTCGCTGTCGCGGAGAAGTTAGGGTGCGGTGTGCAGGGTCCCAGTGAGGGTCTTCTTACAAAGGTGCGGGCAAAGGACTGAGGAGGCCTTGGAGGACTGTCGCCGCCCGCCTGCTAGCTGCGTGTTCCTAAGCACGCGGGGTACGGTAGGCCAGGCTCCAACAATCCCGAGTGCGATCCCGCGCTCATCCCAGCCTCAGAACTCTCTCTTTCCAGGACCAGGCGATGCCCGGGTCTGAAGGTCCGTCCTCTCCCACCCTTCTTGAGACCTGTCTCCTGCCTCCCTTGCTGAAATTCTTCCGGAAGTCTAACCATAATCACACTTGCTGTTCGTACTTTATTTTTCCTAGTGGTTTGGTGAAATCCAGGTTGTTGTGTTTTGAGTGTGTGTGAACAGGCCGAAGTCTTCCTGGGCACAGTGAACAGCCGAGGACTGTCTGGCGCTTGGAGGTTCTCCATCGCCTGCGCCTCCCGCGGCGGCCACATGGGGTCTTCCTTGCGCCGAGAATGGGGACTCGCATGCCCCGCGCCCGCCGCCTCCCCCGCGTGCCCCTCCCTCTCCGCGCCTGCTGCCCCGCCGCGCATCTCCCTCCCCGCTGCTCCCAGCCACGCTCGACCTTCAGCTCCCCTACTCAGCGTCTTGGAATCTGCGCTTTCCCCGAGCCGAGGGCGCGGGAGGAAGCCACGGGGAAACTGAGGCCATCCGCCGGCCCAGCTTCGTGGTGCTCGGGTGCTGGCGCAGCTGAGGAGGCGGAAGGGGGCGATCAGAACGGAGTTGGGTGGCCTGGATGACAAAAAACAAACGGGAATGCAAGATGGGGAGGAGGAGGGCTTTTCCAGGAGGGGAACGGAGCTGTGAGCATGGGAAAGGGAGCGTGGGAAGAAAATCGAGGCACCCACTTTCTCCAGTGAGGCTATAGCTTGTAAGATTTGATTGCGGTGGTAAGACACCAGGAAGAACTTCCCCAATAGAGTCAACCCTGGATGCTCAGGGTGGAGGGCTTGAAGATGAGATTCCCGAGGACTTTAACCTGAAAGTCCCTCCTACTGGAAACTGGTGGAGGTGGGGAGAGGTGGGAGGACGCCCAAGTGGAGTGGATCGCCCTTCCCCCATGAGAACAGTCAGACCAGGTGCTCGCACGGTGGCCGTCCACTGGGACGCCCAGGTGGCCCCGCGCTCCGCCCCCGCCACTGGTTGGCGGCCCGCAGGAGTCTCCCTGGGTGGCCGTACTTCGGAAGCACCTGGTAGAGGCTGCAAGCTTCGCCCGTGACCCCTCGGGCGGCGACACCGCTCTGGGGACGCCGGCGAGTGGGACGCCCGGCTCGGGGTGGCGAGTCTCCCGCGCGCCCTCTGCTGGCCTTAGTGCCGCCTCCACTGCGGCCTCTCAGTCACTCAGTGGTGTGGGAAGATTTAAGAGCAGAGCTCCCACCCAGTTCTTCAGTCGCTGGAGACCAGGAGAGAGGGGATCCCCAGCAGCCCGACGCCAAAGCATCTTCCTGTCCACTGTGGAGGCTTTGGAATCCAGCCACTTCCCAGCGTCTCCCAGCCTGGCCCCAATGTACCAGCTCTCTTTCCCATTTGCCAGAGATGCCTTCCGAATACACAAACCAGTGTGGGCCCCTCTCCCACCTCCACACTGCACACAGGAAAGGACACCCCTATGGCCACCTCGGTCTTGCCTGAGTCCATCTGGCCGCCTCTCACACACACTTTCTCACTTGTCCTCAACAACTTTCCTGCTCATTCCTTAAAGCCCACTTCAAATGCCCACTCCGAAGTTTTTCCTTCCTGTGGAGTCCAGCGTGGCCTCTAACTTGTAGCCCAGTCTGGCCTTGAACTGATCCCCTGCCTCCAGCTTCCTGGTGCTGGATGGCATGTTTGCACCGTTATCCTAGGCTGCATGAATTTTAGAAGCGTCTCTCTAAAAAAAAGTTATTTCTATTTTATATAGAAGTGCACTGCATGTACACGTGCAGGCCAGAAGAGGGCACCAGATCACATTACAGATGGTTGTGAACCACCATGTGGGTGCTGCTGGGAATGGCACTCAGATCCTCTGGAAGAGCAGCCAGTGCTCTTAACCGTTAAGGCATCTCTCCAGCCCCCCAGAAGAATCTCTCTTTTGGAAGCTTTTGTCCTAGGCATGAGCTATTTATTATTCTGATGTTCCTGCTTTCATCTATAACAAGATAAAGTTCTTATCCACTCTTAGCGCTACTGGGAGCCCACCTAAGCTCTCTCACTGAAGCACCACATGGCTCATGTACGGTCCCTAGGCCTAGGGTGTGACCTCTACCTGCCTATAAGACAACTGGACAAGTAACTCCTGAAGTAGGTGCTGCCTCCATCTTCCCCTCCCAAAATATTGGCTGTCCAATATTTTTTAAATCAAATTTTTAAAAGATTTTTATTTATTATGCATACAATGTTCTGTCTGCAGGCTAGAAGAAGGCACCAGATCTCATGCTGGTTGTGAGCCAGCATGTGGTTGCTCAGACTTAAACTCAGAACCTCTGGAAGAGTAGCCAGTGCTTTTAACCTCTTTACCATTTCTCCAGGCCCTGGCTGTCCTATTTCTTTTGGGTTTTGTTTTGTTTGTTTGTTTGTTTGTTTGTTGTTTTTCGAGACAGGGTTTCTCTGTAGCTTTGGAGCCTCTGCTGGGATTAAAGGTGTGCACCACCACCGCCTGACTTTATTTCTCTGGTTTTACTGGGAACCCAAGTCTAATGGTGCTGCAGAGCCTAGTTGCAGATAGACAGGGGAAAGGAGGCCCTGCTTCCTGCAGAGTCCAGAGGTTTTCCTGGTAGTTTTTGGATCCCACCTAGTCCTCACTCATCTAGGCTGAGGCTTACAGGCAAAATCATAAATTCGGGAGACAAGAAGAGAGATAAAGATCATTTGTTGAAAATGGTGTCACCAATCACGTGCTCGGGAGAATGCATACGAGAATTCCCCAAACCTGGTGCTCAGATGCACAGCTCACCCGCTAGCCAACTCCTCCCTCTGCTGGAAGTTGCTGGAGGTTCACTCTATCCTCTGCATTCCTCTTCCACCTGCCAGGAACCTTGTGGTGGGGCGGGACATCCCCACCCACTACCCACCCTGTTAAAGATTACGTTTTTTGAAAGAACCTGGAGGGGAGATTCCCAAACTCCTAGTTTTTGAGTTTCAGGTTGAGGACAGCCAGATAAATAATGGCTTGCCAAATTAATTAATTATTTTATTAGCCTGAGTAATTATTAATCAGGCCATTAATCACCCAGCTGTGTCCCTTGAATAGCAATTAGTCGGGGGATGGGGGCAGTATAGAAGAAGCAGGCCACAGCTGTAAGGTCTGCCAGTCTCTGCTTCCCTCAGTCCTCGGAGAGATTCACACCCAGGCATGAATGTGAGTCTGCCTGGATCCCTTTGCCCTCTCCCTACACTGTCTGAGGTCACATGGGATAGGAGCACATCCACAGGTGACAGGAAGTGAAAGCGGTATGGAGATAGGGCTGGAGGTGTCGACATGTGCCAGACGCCTCCACAGCCGCTGTCCTGACTGATCACGGACATATGAAATGACTGATCATATTGGCTCCAAGTTTTGCCCATAAAATAATGTTTTGATGGGATGGAGTAATAGCTTGGTAGATAAGAACACTCGCTGTTTTCTAGAGGATCCAGGTTCAATTCCCATCACATAGTAGCTCTCAATGGTCTGTAAGTTCATTTCTGTAACTCCAGTTCCAGGGAGTCCAGTGCCCTCGTCTGGCTTCTGAGAGCAGCAGGTGTGATGCACTCCACAGGCTTGCATACAGGTGAAAACGCGCAGACACAGGAAGTAGTAATGAAATACATGCATACAGGTGAAAAC